ACAGCACCCACGTGGGGGAGCGCCCCGTCCAGGTGTGCTTTCCACTCAGTGTCTCCTGAAGCCTAGAAATTCTCCCAGTGGGTGTGGAGAGGAGTCCTGTGGGGTTTCCTCCTCTGAAAGGGCCACCCTGGCAGCATCCTCAGAGGAAGGGTGTGGGTGGAGGCCAGCCTGGGTGCCAGGCCCAGCTCCGCTTCTGGTCAGAGCACCATCCGGGAGAGACAGTCTGCCCTGCTGAGACTCACTTCCTCCTGGGTTCCTGCTCCATAGCTCAGGCTGGAGGTGTCCATCCGCCAGCTCTGAGGAGGGCAGCTGGGCAGCAATTCCACCTGCCTGCAGCCAACTGGACTTGTGTTTCCTGACTGCGCTGGGGTGTGAGTGTGTGTGTGTGTGTGTGTGTGAGAGAGAGAGAGAGAGAGAGAGAGAGAGAGAGAGAGAGAGAGAGATCCCCAGGCCTGACCCAGTGCTCAGTAAATGGGTGCAGACTAAGTGAACATCCCTGGAGGCTAGCTAGCATCATTGCCCTCATGGATATTCACTGAGGCAAAGTAACTTATCCAAGCTTACAGGACTACTGAATGAGCTAGCAGAATTTCAGCTCTTTTCAAAGTTGCAAGGGCCAGGAATATAACTCAGTGGTACAAGCGCCTGCCTGGCAAGTGCAAGGTCCTGAGTTCAACTCCCTGTATAAAAAACAAAACAAAAAAGCCCAAACCTGGTAAAGCTGTGAGTGTTTGCTTACTGTGCTATCCTGCCTCTGACATTGCTAGTCAGTCTTTCATTACTGTGACCAGGCACCTGACACAACGCAGAGGGGAAGCTGTCCCTGGGCTCGTGGTTTCAGGGAGTTCAATCCATGGCTGGCTCCACTGCTCTGAGGTCACAGAGAGGCAAAAACATGGCAGAAGGGTGCGCAGAGGAAAGCTGCGTCCAGGAAGCCGGAGGATAGAGAAAGGGCAGGGAACAGTGGTGCCCTTCAAAGCCACATCCCAGGGCCCTCTTCTCCCACCCCGGCCCTGCCTCCCAAGAGCGAGTCCACCTCTGAACTCATCAGCGGACTGGCTCAGTCGCCGCTGAGGCTACTCCTGACCACAGTTGCGTGTGGGCCAAGCCCTAGAGGCAGGAGCCTTGGGGACCCCTTGTATTTAATCCGATGCGCATGTGGGGAGGACCTAAGCTTGGTAAATGACAGGCCTGGGACAGAAGAAAATGAGGCCTTGCCCCAAAGAGGAAACCCAAGCGTGGCACATGGAGCCATGAGAAACTGGAGCAAGAGTCACACCGTTTCTCAACATTGCATATTAAAAAGAAGACAAGGCTGGGTTTCCTGAAATGGAAAAAGCACTCAACTCTTTTCTGGTTGCTAGACTGGAGTGGTGGGAAGGCAAAGAAGGCCCAGACTGGGAACACTAGTGACAAACATAGTTTCTTTGGAAATGTCTAGTTCAGAGCAGAGCACCCAGGGCAGGATGCTCTTGGGAAGCTGCAAGGTTTAAGTGAAATAGTACAGGCACAGTGCTGGGCACAGGACCTATGAGAGATTAAAGGCTCAATTATAAGGAGGAGGTACCAACTATACCAACTATAGACCAGAAGGCACTTTCTCCTGCGGACATCCTTGGGCGGGGGCCAGTGGGTGAGGTGTACTCCGAATAGGGACTTTTGAAATGGGCTTGTAGGGTGTGT